TTTGGCTCAGGTCCATGATCTCAGGGTCATGAGATCGAGCCCCACATTGGGCTCTGTGTGGGACTCTGTGCTGGGTGTGGAGCCTGCTTAAGATTCTCCCTCTCCTTCTGCCCCTCCCACCCTGCTCCCGCACGCACACTCTCTCTGGCTCTCTAAACAAACAAACAAACAAGCAAATGGAGGGCAGAACAAGAAGAGCCTGCAACAGAAACTGTGAAGCAGAGGGGAGAGTAGAGGGTCGCCTGAGCCAGGGGAAGAGAATTTTCAAGGAGGGAGTGGTCAGCAGTGTCCAATGCCAGAGGAAGGTCTAATAAGATACAATTTAGCAATTAGAAGGGCATTATACCTTGAGAGGTATAATAATTACACCTTGAGAGATAGCAACAAAATGGGGTAGTAGGTTAGGCAAGCAGTCATAAATGCTTAGCAGGGAAGCATCCTAAAAAATTATAGGTAGTCCTGGGAAGTGGGTGGAGAAGGGTACCCTGATCCCTGATAGAAGGTCTGGGAGTAGGTGAGGTTTGGTTGCTTCAGGGAGGTAGTTGGCACCCAGAAAAGCTGAAAACAAGTTGCAGGATTGTCTGCTCAGGGACTCAGGGGCCCGTCACCAGTTTCTGAAAAGGAGGCTGGTGCCAATGAGACAGGAACTGCACCCTAAGGGGATGACCTCGTAGCCAGGTGTCCAACTGTGGCTGAGGCACAGAGATGTAGGCAGCTGCTGACTCTGGTGGACACTGTGTGGGCCAGACTCAGGACATAGGGCAGAACGTTCAGAGCCAAATGAGAAGGCAGGTGACTTAACTACTGAGTCCTAAGAGTGTTCAGACAAGAACTGCTGCCATTTTTTCAGCCTGGAAGGAACAGTGAATTGAGGTAGGAGTCAAGCAGTCCCTGCCGCTGGGACAGGAATGCTTTAGAGGGTTGGGAGAAGTGGGCAGAGGCAGGTAAGGAATTCAGTGGCTGCGGGCTAGTGGCCACCATCACACCATACTTGTCCCTCCTTTACCCAACTGCCTACATATACCGCCCTCCTCAAGTGCTCATTGAACCGGTTTGAGCATCTTGCTGCTCTCTCCTTCTTAACATGTTGAATCAAATCCTTCTACATATTCATTTACTATTTGCGTGTTAGTCATTTTCTCTTTTTGAGAATTATACCCTAACAGTACACATAATTCAAAATTAAAGAAAATATGGCATTTGCTCTCCATTACTGATCACCTTCTTTCAAAAACAAATTGGACATCTGCATTAAATCTTTGAACTTCTGGACAAATATGCCACGTGTTGGTGATACCATGATTTTAGGTGATATCATCTATTTTAATTCAACGCATATTTGTTGAGAGCCTACTTTGGGCAAGGAGTTTATATTTATTAACTTCCAACCAAAAAAAGGTTAAATTTGGCTGTCGTTTTATAGTGCCATGGATTTATTGTGAATTCAGTTCATTCACGTAGCTCATTGTTAAGGTATGTAGGAGGTCCAGCTATTAAGTTGACTTAATCCTGTCAACTATAAATTGAATGGACAGAGTTCTGGAGAGAGTTAGGGATCTAAATATCACTTTTCATATTCCAAGTGATTTTTAAGTACTGAAATACTATATTTGTTTGTTATAATATCATTAGTATTTTTTAAAAATTTGAAATCTTGATCATTTATGTGACAGGTATCCAGAGAATTTATACATTGCATTAATATTGCAAATGGAACAGAGCTATACTCATTAAGAACATTTTAATGCTTTTTCCAGGAGAATTAGAAGTTGCTACTGGGCAGGAAGAGGAGGGGATGTACCCAGACCCCATTACCACCATTTTCCCAGGGTCTCGATCCTCTCTGCCCCACTCAGCATTATTCATTCTCTTGCAGCCTGTCCCCTTCTCCAATCACCCTATGTGAGAAGACTCCAGAAGTAAAAGAGGGTGATCTCTGCCGAACCGCCTTCTTCTCTCAAAGAACCCTTGAAAGCGACATGTAACACAGAATGAAGACCATATGTACTAGATTGCTAGGGCTGCCATAGATTGGGTGGTTTAAACCACAGAAATTTCTTTTCTCACAGTTCTAGAAGCTAGAAGTCCAAGATCAAATGTCAACAGAGTTGGTTTCTCTGAGGCCTCTCTCCTTTTCTTTTTTTTTTAAATTCAAATTCAATTAATTAACATACAATGTGTTATTGATTTCAGAGGTACAGGTCTGTGATTCATCAGTCTTATATAATACCCAGTGCTCACTACATCACATGCCCTCCTTAATGTCCATCACCCAGTTACCGCATCCCTCCACCCCTCTCCCCTCCAGCAACTCTCAGTTATCATGTATCAGTGAGATCATATGATACTTGTCTTTCTCTGATTGACTTATTTAGCTTAGCATAACACCCTCTAGTTCCATCCACATTGTTGCAAATGGCAAGATTTCATTTTTTGATGGCTGAGTAATATTCCATTATATATATTATATATATATTACATATATATAAAAGCACCACTTCTTCTTTATCCATTCATCTGTCAATGGACATCTGGGCTCTTTCTATAGTTTGGCTATTGTGGGCATTGCTGCTATAAACATTGGGGTGCAGGTGCCCCTTCAGAGCCCTACATTTGTATCTTTGGAGTAAATACCCAGTAGTGCAATTGCTGGGTCGTAAGGTAGCTCTATTTTCAACTTTTTGAGGAACCTCCATACTGTTTTCCAGAGTGGCTGCACCAGCTTGCATTCCCACCAACAGTATAGGAGGGCTCCCCTTTCTCCAAATCCTCACCAACATCTGTCGTTTCCTGACTTATTAATTTTAGCCATTCATTTTAGCCACTGGTATGAGGTAGTATCTCATTGTGGTTTTGATTTGTATTTCCCTGATGCCGAGTGATGTTGAGCATTTTTTCGTGTGTCTGTTGGCCATTTGGATGTCTTCTTTGGAGAAATCTCCTTGACTTCTAGATGGCCAAATTCTCTCTGTGTCTACACATGGTCTTCCTTCTGTATGTGTCTGGGTCCTAATCTCTTTTGAGGAGACTAATTGTACCTTAATTAGGGCCCACCCATAAGACCTCATTGTACCTTAATTAACCCTTTAAAGGTCCTATCTCCAAATACAGTCACATTTTGAGGTACTAAGGGTTAGGACTTCAATGTATGAATTTGGGTGGAGGCGGGAGAGGTGGGATGGGACACAATTCAGTCCATATCACCAAATATGTTTCTTTCTTCCTTTTTTTAATTAATTTTTAAATTTTTTATTGTTATGTTAATCACCATACATTACATCATTAGTTTTTGATGTAGTGTTCCATGATTCATTATTTGTGCATAACACCCATTGCTTCATGCAGAACGTGCCCTCTTTAATACCAATCACCGGGCTAACCCATCCTCCCACCCCCTCCCCTCTAGAACCCTCAGTTTGTTTTTCAGAGTCCATCATCTCTCATGGTTTGTCTCTCTCCGATTTCCCCCCTTCATTCTTCCCCTCCTGCTATCTTCTTCTCTTTTTCTTAACATATATTGCATTATTTGTTTCAGAGGTACAGATCTGTGATTCAACAGTCTTGCACAATTGACAGAGCTCACCATAGCACATACCCTCCCCAGTGTCTATCACCCAGCCACCCCACCCCTCCCACCCCACTCCCCACTCCAGCAACCCTCAGTTTGTCTCCTGAGATTAAGAATTCCTCATATCATTGAGGTCATATGATACATGTCTTTCTCTGATTGACTTATTTTGCTCAGCATAACACCCTCCAGTTTTTAAAAAAAAATATTTTATTTATTTGAGAGAGAGTGAGAGAGAGCGAGAGTGAGAGAACAAGCTGGGGGGGAAGGGCAGTGGGAGAGAAGCAGGCTCTCTGCTGTGCAGGAAGCCAGATGCAGGGCTCGATCCCAGAATCCTGAGATCATGACCTGAGCCGAAGGCAGACACTTAACCGAGACACCCAAGTGCCTCTATTTCTTAAAAATCAAATACAGGCATTTAAATATTCTACCAAATAAATGTCACAATTACAAATAACATCACAGCTGTTCTCACAATATAATGAGTTCAGTTTCTTAATTATATTGTAGATAGATTTTCTATTTTAGTGGCCCTAGTCTTGGATGCTACTAACTATATTTTTTAAAAAATAAGAGGATCTTAGTCTTTATTTTACTGTGTAGTTATTGCTGCTCAACTCTTTCATCTTGCCCTTGACTGGATGTCCTCAACACATAGAAACATTTTGCATGAAAAGCTAGTTTTTAAAGGGTAATTAAAGGATATCAGTAAAACAGCTGGGAAAGACAAGAAATCTCTGAATTGGGATTCACTGAGCTGACTGAAAAGAGAAAATTCAAACAGTCCTTTTGCACATTGGGAAGTTCGGCAAGAAGCAAGCCCAGCAGACCTAAATTAGCTCAAAGGGAAAACAAAGGCAAAGACTAGTAGAAATGATGCAAACTCGTTGGCGAGGCTCTGTTCTGATAAGGCTACTTCCAGGCCAGGAAGCTGACACTGTTCTACCAAGGAGTAGGGGTCTCCAGCCCTCCTCCCAGATGCCCACAGAAATGCACTGCAGCACCAGAGTAGGCGCTCGCTACTCTGTTCCACGCTGCCAGTCCACGTGGAGTCACAAACACTCCACATTTATTTCTGGAGGCTGCTACGGGTGAGGCCAGTGCCCTTTCAGCCCATCTTGTTTGCTGATTGATTGATTGGTTACCAGCCTTCCATCCGCTTCTCCACCAAGTCCGGTGCAGCTGAGTCTGTTTAGCTCATTCCATAAACGTGGCTTGGCTGCTCATTAAGATGAGCTCTATGATCCATCTTCACCCTAATGTTATGAGTCTGTGCTTCAGTTTCAGACTTTAAAGTAGATGTTGAGAAAATCCCAAGTATAGTTTTTAAAAGAAACTTAATATAAATGCTTTTGGCTAACAAATAAGGAAAGAAGTGTCCCTTTTTTCCTAGGGTTTTCAGCCTTGATTTAGATGGAAAATATAAGCTCACCTCAACCACGAACCTTCAGCTGGTTCCTCTGCTCTGCTTTGGGCCACTCTTGTTTATGGAGGCAATTCCGAGATCACTCTGAAAGCTACATATAAACGGAAACATTCTTCGAAAAGGGTAATTTTTAAAATTCAAAATGACTACCTGTAAGATGGCATTATCAGCAAGCTTTGCTTTTTTAAAATTAGAATTGCTAATGAATTGTTTTCCAATGCTCTTTTCACCATCTTATGGATATTTTCCTAAGACATTCACATTTGTAAAATGGCTTTGTTTTCTCCTCAGGGCCCCCTCATCACCCACACAAACCTGGTCTCCTACTCCTTGCTAACTCAGAAGCCCAGCCTCTTCCCACACAAGTGCTCAGTACCTGGGGCCCACCACCCACCCTCTCCTTTGTTCTCCCACAAATCCACCCCCTCACCTTCTCTCCTTCATCCAGGTAGACATTTTCATACTCCCACTGCTCAGCGGCCAAACCACAATAATGGCCTGGGGGTGGGGGAAGAAGAATGCTTTTTCTAATGACCATTATGGTTTGTTTTTTTAATTAATAAGCTCTATCCACAAATGAGTAGTTGAGAAACAATTCTTTTATTCTTAGATTATTTTTTCAAAACTCCCTCATATACAATAATTGGATTTTCTATTTTTGAAAACTCTACCAAAATGTACGTGCACTTTGAGTGTTGTAACTTTTTTCAGTGGAAACAGATGCTCTCTTGTCCAAATTAAAATGTTTTACTCCCATTTTGAAGTGAATGAGTGTACCAAGGAGACAGTGGCTCCCTGGGATGGTTATTTGCAGTGACAGTGTCTGAGCTTTAGCTGAAACCAGTAGGCACCCTGACAAGATTAATTGAATGTGAATCATGCCTGAGCTCTTCCAGAACCAATACCAGAAATAAGGGCCAGCCCACTCATCAAAACCCTGCTAAGGACCCCCACTCTGTGGGACTAGCCAGCCCTAGGGGAGGCAGAAAGACCAGGCTCTGCTACTTATGTGTGTGTGTGTGTGTTGTTTAAAGATGTATTTATTTATTTTAGAGGGAAGGAGAGAGAGCGCGAGTGGGAGGGGCAGAGAGAAACTCAAGCAGACTCCATGTTCAGCACAGAGGCCAATGCAGGGCTTGATCTCATGACCCTCAGATCATGACCAGAGCCAAAACCTAGAGTCAGACTCTCAACTGACTGCACCACCCAGGTGCCCCTACTTACGTGTTTTAAGGCCTCCAGAAAAGCTTTCCCCAAATCATCCTCACCGTTATGTTGCTATGCCTTAAATTCCAGCATTAAAGAGTCATTCCTGAACCTTCCAGTATGAAGAATTAGAAAGATGCCGGATTTTCTTCCATTCATGACAACTATTTTCATCTTTCCATAGAGTTCAGTTAATGTACTACATGCTGTGAACAGAATGTATTCCACAATATCACAAATGCACTCTTTAGTAGGAAAAATGAACATAATAGTGGGTTTTAATAAGGAGCATGCAATTGAATTTGTGTTGGTATGGTTTGTTTTGTCATTTGGCTTTTTCAGTATTATAATTGATGTGAATGCCTTAAAGAAAGGCTGGGACCTTTTCTCCTTTTCATTAATCTCTCTGAGGTGTAGCACCATATCTGACATATAGAGGCACTCAGTCCATGACTGGAAAATTGCTTCCTGTCCCTGGTAATTTCTCTTGTCATCACTAAGACCTAGGGGCAATTTTATTCTACTTTATATACACTATTAATTTACTCTTTATTTTGAATATGACAACACTTTCCTTTAAATTTTCACAACACTGCATCCGTTCTTTTATGCATTCATCACTTTCTCTCTTGTACTCCTTTTAATCTTAGAGCTCTTCATGACTCATAAGAACTTTTACATTACAGCTCTATAGGATTTAACTTTATATCCTCACATAAAGCGAGTCTCCTTGCATAAAAAGCTCCTTGCCTTGGGAGCCTGGGTGGCTTGGTTGAGCAACTGCCTTCTGCTCAGGTCATGATCCTGGAGTCCCCGGATCAAGTCCCGCATTGGGCTCCCTGCTTGGCGGGGAGTCTGCTTCTCCCTCTGACCCTCCCCCTTCTCATGCTCTCTCTCTCATTCTCTCTCTCAAATAAGTAGGTGAAAAATCTTAAAAAAAAAAAAAAAAAAAAAAGCTCCTTGCATAAAAAGATGCAAGCAGGGGCGCCTGGGTGGCTCAGTCGTTAAGCGTCTGCCTTCGGCTCAGGTCATGATCCCAGGGTCCTGGGATAGAGCCCCGCATTGGGCTCCCTGCTCTGCAGGAGGCCTGCTTCTCCCTCTCCCACTGCCCCTGCTTGTGTTCCCTCTCTCGCTGTGTCTCTCTCTGTCAAATAAATAAAAAATCTTAAAAAAAAAAAAAAATGCAAGCAAGGTGCAAAAAGCAAGAAACAGATACCTCCCTGTCCATCCTGCAGCCACAGCGGTGATAACAACCGCCACTAAGTGTCTAGTTGCTGGCTTCTAGCTACAGATGGTAAATGAACCTAGGCATTTATCTCCTCTCAGTAGAGGCAAGAAGAGGAGATAGAAATAGATGAGAGATTTCAACAGATATTTGATGGAAAGAGAATGATGAAGGGTTAACTGGCCCAATGGGAGAGGAAGCTATAATCTAAAGTGTGCAAAGTGGGGCATATTGAAGATAAGCAAGATATTTTGCCTTGAAGAACTAGAAAGAGGCTCAGGACTTGGGATCACCAGGTTTGGTGGAGTGGGAATGAGGTGTGCCCTGTAAAGCAGGAGATAAGTTAAAAGCTTGAAAAGGAACAGTCAACTACTTTGTACCCTTAGGCACAGAAAATCAGCACCCAGGCTAATCGTACCAAGCTATCTCCCAGGAGGAGATAGAAGGTTTGTTTCCTGGAGACCTTGGTAGCAAAGGCCTGGGCATCAGAGAAACCAGGCCTGATAGAAGACATGGATATGGCATGGAAATTAAACAGTGAACTGAATTAGAAGCCGATACTGGGAATGGTTGGATTATCTGTGTTCTCTCCCTTGCCACACAATCAAAGAACTGTTAATCAATCAACCAGCCCCTAAGCCAATGTTTTTCAAACTGTGGGTTATGAAATCTGTTATGATTAGTGGACTATGAAATCAGTTTAATGGGTCATAACCAACATTGCCATGGATTGAGTTCCCCAGGAAACAGACTCTAAAACAAAGTTATGGATTCAGAATATTTATTAGGGCATGCCCTTGGTATCAACACCTGAAGAAGGAAACAGAATCAGACAGAGGGAAGAGTGGAACTGTGAATCAAACCAGTGACATCTTCAGCCAAGCCCATGGGAAGTACTAAAGCTAGAATGGCTCTTCAGAGTTGTCCCAAGTCAGGCCAAGATGGCCAGGCCTTCATCCCCTTTCTCCTTTATTTGGAGATAAGGTCTTTAAAGGGGTGATCAAGTTAAAATGAGGCCCTCCAGGTCGACCCCTACTCCAAGGTGACTAGTGTTCTTAGAAGAAGAGGAAGAAACACCAAGGGTAGGCACATAGAGAAAAGGCTGTATGAGGACACAATGAGAAGGTGGCCACCTGCAAGCAGAGAGACCTCAGGAGGAAACAATCTGCTGATCCCTTAACCTTGGACTTCTAGCCCCCAGGACTGTGAAAAAAGAAACTTCTGTTGTTTAAATCACCCAGGGTGTGGTATTTTATTATGACAGCCCTAGCAAATTATTACATCCCCCCACATTGGATATGGGCATCCCAGGGAGTATGATCTTGGGCATGGCAGCTCTCTCTGCACTTAGGCAATCCCTGAGAGGACTGACAGCTGAAGACGGCCCCTTAGCAGCACTCCCAGTGGCTGGACAACCAGTCCTTCATTGTGGGGGATCTGAATGGTACATCACAAGGTTTGTCGCAAACATTAAAGACAAGAACGTGCAGTAGACACAGTAAAAAAGATCAGAGTGCATCACATGTAGAAAAAGGAAAGATTTTTTCATGAAAATTTTTTATCTTTATGTTTATGTATGTGTGTGAGGACTAGGATGTGATGGAAAATCACTTCTTATTGTCAAAAATGTTTACAAGTCACTTCCCTTGGCAAGAAATTAGAGGAGTGTTTTCTGAGAAGCTAAACTGACTCAGAAAAGAAACAAAATGTTTTCTCCACAATCCAAAAGTGAAGCCCATCACTCTGTAACCCCATCCACCCACACAGAGTCCCTCATCAGCTTTTTAGCACCCTATTCTTAAATATAAATGGACAAAAAAAAAAAAAAAAGATCACCAGGTATGTAAAGTAACCTCTAACCTAAAAGAGAGAACTCAATATGAAAAACAGAGAGTAGAAGAGGAAAAGGTAGAGAATAGAAACATCACTTTTTTTTTTTTTTGAAGATTTTATTTACTTATTCGACAGAGAGAGACACAGCGAGAGAAGGAACACAAGCAGGGGGAGTGGGAGAGGGTGAAGCAGGCTTCCCGCTGAGCAGGGAGCCCGATGCGGGGCTCTATCCCAGGACCCTGGGATCATGACCTGAGCCGAAGGCAGACGCTTAACGACTGAGCCACCCAGGCGCCCCGAAACATCACTTTTTATATGCTAATTTATAATCTCAAAAATTGAGAAGATTTTATGCGTAAAATAAAAGCAGAATGCTATGATAAGAGAACTATTAAGAAAAAAAAAGGAGAGGGTTCTTAGAAATTAACTAAAAAAAAAAAATTCCATAGAAGAATCAGAAGATCAAGTCAAGGAAATCTGTTGAAAACAGAACCAAAACATGAGTAGATGAACAATGAGAAAGAAAAGATAGGAGATTTAGAGATTCAGTCCAGTAGGTACAATATCTGACTAGAAGTAGTTCCAGAAAAAGAAGAAATGGAGAAAAAATTATACAAGAAAGTTCCCAGAACTGCAAGGCATAAGTCTCAAAATTGAAAGTGCCTACAAGTATTCAGCACAACAAATGAAAAAAGGCACATCATTGAGAAGTGTCAGCCACTGGGAATAAAGCAAGAATCTCAAATCTTCTAGAATGGGGCGCCTGGGTGGCTCAGTTGTTAAGTGTCTGCCTTCAGCTTAGGTCATGGTCCTGGGGTCCTGGGATCGAGCCCCACATCAGGCTCCCTGCTATGTGGGAAGCCTGCTTCTCCCTCTCCCACTCCCCCTGCTTGTGTTCCCTCTCTCGCTGTGTCTCTCTGTCAAATAAATAAATAAAATCCTAAAAAAAAAAAAAGCTTCTAGAAAAAGAAAAACAAATGACTGTAAAATAGGAATCAGGGGGCTCCTGGGTGGCTCAGTTGTTAAGTGGCTGCCTTCGGTTCAGGTCATGATCCCAGGGTGCTGGGATCGAGCCCTGGGTCGGGCTCCCTGCTCTGCAGGAAGCCTGCTTCTCCCTCTCTACTCCCTCTGCTTGTGTTCCCTCTCTCACTGTGTCTCTCTCTGTCAAATAAATAAAATCTTAAAAAAAACAAAGTAGGAATCAGTACGCATGAGACTTCTCAACTACAATGTTGGACTGGAAAAAGCAATGGAGGAATGCCTTAAGAATTATGAGGGATCATTTTTTTAAATCTATAATGTCTATAATGTAATACCCAGCCAAACTATCAAAGTGTGAGGGCAGAATAAACACATTTTCAGATACAGAAGAATTCAGGAAACTTACCCCTTGTGTATCTTTTGTAGGAAGCTACTACAGGGGATGATCTAGAAAAATAAGGGGAAAAAAACAAGAAAAAGAAAGACATCAGATCTAAGAAATCGGGGATCCATCACAGTTGAGATGAAAAGAGAACTCACATGGTCATTGTGAAGGTGACTTGGTGCAGCAGCTCTTCAAGAAGCCTAAAGAGCAACAAGTTCAGATTGATGCAAGAGGACAAAGGGCTGCACCAGGATGTCCCCAAGAAAATGAAGAAATATATATAATCTTTCATAAACATGAATGTATTAAGAGATTTACATTTCTGGAGAAGAATAGGGAATTAGGTTTTTTAAAAGTTTTTTTTTTTTTAACTTAAATTCAATTAGCCAACACATATAAAAGTTTTTTAATTCCAGTGTAGTTAACATACAGTGTTTTATTAGTGTCAGGTGTGCAATACAGTGGTTCAACAATTCTATTCATTACACAGTGCTCACCATGATAAATGTACTCTTTAATCCCCATCACCTATTTCACCCATCTCCCCCACCTCCCCTCTGGTAACCATCAGTTTGTTCTCTATAATTAAGAGCCTGTTTCTTTGTCTCTCCCTCTTTTTCTGCCCTTTGCTTGTTTTGTTTCTTAAATTCCACATGAGTGAAATCATATGGGATTTGTCTTTCTCTGATTGACTTATTTTGCTTAGCATAATACTCTAGCTCCATCCATGTTGCTGTAAATGGCAAGGTTTCATTCTTTCTTATGGCTCAATAATATTCCAGTGTGTGTGTGTGTGTGTGTATGTGTATATATATATATATATATATATATATATATATATATATATATATACCTCTTCTTTATCCATTCATCTATCAATGGGCACTTGGGCTGCTTCCATAATTTGGCTGTTGTAAATAATGCTGCTATAAACACAAGGGTGCATATATCTCTTTGAATTAGTGTTTTTGTATTTTTGGGTAAATACCCAGTAGTGTAATTATTGGAATGTAAGGTAGTTCTATTTTTAACTTTTTGAGGAAACTCCATACTGTTTTCCACATTGGCTGCACCAGTTTGCTTTCCCACCAACAGTGCATGAGAATTTCTTGTTCTCCACATCCTTGCCAACCCCTGTTGATTCTGGTGTTGTTGATTTTAGTAATTCTGATAGGTGTGAGGTGATATCTTGTAGTTTTGATTTGCATTTCCCTGATGATGAGTGATATTGTGCAACTTTTCATGTGTCTGTTGGCCATCTGGATGTCTTCTTTGGAGAACTGTCTGTGCATGTCTTCTGCCCATTTTTAAATTAGATTATTTGTTTTTTGGGTGTTAAGTTGTAGAAGTTCTTTATATATTTTGGATACTGACCCTTTATCAGCTATGTCATTGGCGAATATCTTTTCCCATTCAGTAGGTTGCTTTTTTGTTTTGTTGATTGTTTCCTTCACTGGGCAGAGCTTTTTATTTTGATGTAGTCCCAGTAGTTTATTTTTGCTTTTATTTCTCTTGCCTCAGGAGACATGTCTAGAAAAATGTTGCTACAGTCTACATCAGAGACATTACTGCCTGTGCTCCCTTCTAGGATTGTTAAGGTTTCAGGTTTCACAGGTAGGTCTTTAATATATTTTGAATTTATTTTTGTGTGTGGTGCAAGAAAATGGTCCAGTTTCATTCTTTTGCATGTTGCTGTCCAGTGTTCCCAACACCACTTGTTCCCATTGCATATTCTTTCCTCCTCTGTTGAAGACTAACCGACCATATAATTATGGTTTTATTTTTGGGTTTTCTATTCTGTTCCATTGATCTATGTGTGTATTTTTATGCCAGGACCATACTGTTTCAGTTACTACAGCTTTGTAATATAACTTGAAGTACGGAATTGTGATACCTCCAGTTTTCTTTTCCTTTTTCAAGATTTCTTTGGCTATTCAGGGTCTTTTAAGATTGTTAGTTCTAGTTCTGTGAAAACTGCTGTTCATATTTCGATAGGGAATGCATTAAATGTGTAGACTGCTTTGGGTAGTATAAACATTTTAACAGCATTTGTTCTTCCAATCCATGAGCATGGAATATCTTTCCATTTCTTTGTGTCATCTTCAACTTCTTTCATCAGTGTTTTATAGTTTTCTGAGTACAGTACTTTCATCTCCTTCATTTATTTCTGGGTATTTTATTATTTTGGGTGCAAGTGTAAATGGGATTGGTTTCTTAATTTCTCTTTCTGCTGCTTCATATTAGTGTATAGGAATGCAACAGATTTCTGTACATTGATTTTGTATCCTGTGACTTTACTGAATTCATTTATCAGTTCTAATAGTCTTTTGGTGGAGTCTTTAGGGTTTTCTACATACAGTACCACATCATTTGCAAATTGTGAAAGTTTTAGTTCTTCTTTACTGATTTGGATCCCTTTTACTTCTTTTTGTTGTCTGATTGCTGTGGCTAGGACTTCCAGTACTATGTTGAATAAAAGTGTGTACCGTATCTTCTTTATCCATTCATGTATTGATGGACATTCTGGCTACTTCTATAATTTGGCTATTGAACAAGGCTGCAATGAAAAATACAGGGGTGCATATTATCCTTTTGAATTAGTATTTTTGTTTTCTTAAAGAATTACTTTTGACAGGTACATAGAAAAGTAAGCATACAAATAAAATGAGATAATCATCAATTCTAGGAATCCAAATTTGTATGCAGAGAAGCAATATAATCATAGTATATTACATGCCTCAGCCTTAAATAATACATCATCTTAATCATGTAAAAGCTGATCAGTGACTTGAGAAAAACATTGTGATATAACTACATTAGGAGAATTAGAAGAAGCTATAAGGGACTAAATCCATATTTTCCCTAGAAGGGAGTCACAGATAATATATGGAACTTTGAAAAATCAAGAAATAGCAGTAGAAATTTAGAGATAAATACCAGATGAAATGGCTGAAAGAGTTGAGTGTGGTTGCTTTTAGGAATGGAAATAGAACCAGATCCTGCAGGTTAGACAGGGAAAGAGGCTGCTTTTTTTCCTTTAGACTTTGAAGAGATATTTAGCTATTAAAACTCTGTACTTTATAACTTAGATGAAAATATACACAACTCTAGAAAGAAAAATGACAATACAGGCATATTATTTTTGAGATATGGAGGCAACCATCTTAAAAGCTAAAGGGAAAAGCTTGAGAGTGGTTTCCTTTGGAGGAGAGGGACTGGATTTGATCTTCACTGTAAACCCTATTTGATTTTGTAAACTTGTGAGGAGGTTACATTGGAGAAGAATTTTAAATAATAACAATTAACTTGCAAGAATGAATCCAGGCATGTAGACACTTAGGAAGAGTATTGAATTTTAGCTCTGCTACTTGCTTGATTAGGTTCCTAATTTTTAAAATCTTCAATGTCTTCCTTACAAAGGGTAAGGAGTTGGAAGCTCCTGGTAGATTGAAAATGATCAATAAACATTTCCTTTTCTCCTCTTACAGATAAAACCAGGGCACTAGTTTTCAGTAGTATCAGTTCATTCTTTGAAACCCCTCTCTTTCCTGGACTCACAAGGTCCCTTCCATTACACCTTGGATGTGAAAGAAATACTCAGTGTACACGTGCATAATGAAGTCATTTTTTAAAAATCCTAGGCAAAGGGGCACCTGGGTGGCTTAGTTGGTTAAGCCTCTGACTCTTGATTTGCTGCCTCAGGTCATGATCTCAGGGTTGTGAGATGGAGCCCCATGTTAAGATTCTCTCTCTCCCTCTCCCTCTGCTCCCCCTCCTCACCCCCCTGCATGTACTTTCTATAAAAAAAAAAAAAGGTAAAAAATCCTAGGTGAAATAAGAAATGCCCTTTGTGTAATCTAACTAACCTTACGATCTATCCATTATTTCAACAATAAGATGCAATATATAGTTTACTCACTTGACTTTTCTCATGCCTTAATGATTTTTGAATGGGTTCCAGATTCAAATTTTATCTAATAGTAAACAGAACCAATCTGTCCATTGTGGAATGACATTAAAGCTGGGCTGTGGTGAACAGGTTAGGAGTGAGGGATTGAGAAATTGATCCTCACATTTCTTGGGGGTAGGCAGGCCCCCTGGATCAGTAACCTCTGGCCAAGAGCAGCCTAACTATTTCATATAGTACTGTACAATTATGATTTTTCTTTGAGTGCCATGTCATGAAAAAGGTTCGGAAGCACTGCCTTAAACAGGTGCCATAAAAATCCATTATAAGGATGGATAATCATTTAGGTAAAGTCTTTTTCAGTTGCTTCCATATTAAGTTTATAAGAGAAGTAGTTAAATTCACATACCTTTAAACGATTTTTTTATGCCCCCCAAATCTGAATGGAAATTACTTAACATTAGGTTCATGTATAAGTTTGGATTAGTAAGTTTAGCTACAAGTAATTTAATCGAGACCCCAAGATAGTCGTTTCAACAATTAGATCATTACTCTATCCTGTAAAAAGAATTCTGGAGTAAGTTAGCCCAAGGCTTGCATGGTGGTTTCATCATCATCAAAGATCTGGCTGCTTTCAGCTTTTGGCCTTACACTGGTAAGGCATGAGTCTCAGCTCAGGGATTGCAAACGAGCACATCCACACCCCAAAAAGTAGGATGGAGAAGGAGAAGGGTGTGCCCTTTTCCTTTTATGAAGACTTCCCAGAAGTTACCATCCTATTTCCATTTTGGGTCTCACCGTGAGGAACTTAGTCACATGACCACATAGCTGCAAGCATGGTTGCAAACTACTGTCTTTTAGCTAGTCAGCAATATGTCAAGCTTAAAATAGGAGTTTTATGAGTTAGAGAAGAATGATTATTTGGTAGGCAAACAGTAGCCTTCACATGTTTTAGTAACTGCCATGTAATTAATCTCAAACAAAACCATCTGTCAAGTAGTTATTTAATATATACTGTAAGAAAGGCTGACATAAGCATTAAGGAAGACCAATTAGCAAATTCATTATTTGAAGTCCTGATTACTTATTTTTTCTGGGTTTAATAATTCATGATTAAGACAGTGTAGCTGGGGATAAAAGCACAGATTCTGAAATAGACTGCCTGGTTTCCATTTATTAGTTGTGTAACCTTGAGAAAATTGCTTAAATGCTCTGTGCCTTAGTTTTCTTTTCCATAAGGTGGAGATAAAAATAATAGTACCTATCTAACAGAAATTTGGAGGATTAAATGAGTTAATACATGTAATGTACTTAGAGTAGTGTCTGGCATATAGTGAGTACTCAGCAAATGTTAGCTATTAATAAATCTTTTACTTAAATTAAAATCTTTTTCTTTAAAATCTTACATAGCTATGACAATCTGATTCTCTATTAAGAATTTCTAGGTATGCAATATTTTCCTGATCTTGCATTTGTAGATACTTAAAAATGGTGATCCCTGGAGTGAAACCATAGGGCTTTACTTGAGCTAATAAATGTTATGTTCCATAGTAATGTTAAGAAAGAGAAAGGAGGGGAGCCTCTGTAAGTCAGCTGGTTGAGCATCTGACTCTTGGTTTCAGCTCAGGTCATGCTCTCGGGATCCTGAGATAGAGCCCTGTGTCAGGCTCCATGCAGAGCATGGGGTCTGCTGGAGATTCTGCCCCTCCTGCTTGTGCTCTCTTTCTCTCTCAAATAAATAAATAAATTGTAAAAAAAAAAAAAAAAAAAGTTAAGAGAAAGGAGTTAGGTATTGGGTGCCTGGGTGGCTCAGTTGGTTAAGCGACTGCCTTCGGCTCAGGTCATGATCCTGGAGTCCCGGGATCGAGTCCCACATCGGGCTCCCTGCTGAGCAGGGAGTCTGCTTCTCCCTCTGACCCTCCCCCCTCTCATGTGCTCTCTCTCATTCTCTCTCTCAAATAAATAAATAAAATCTTTAAAAAAAAAATAGTTACAAAATCTTTAAAAAAAAAAAAAAAAAAAAGGAGTTAGGTATTGATCAAATTGAACCATAACTGGTTTGTCTTTTTTCTCCTCCCCCTCTCCCACTTCTTTCTTTTGTGGACTGTACTGATGACAGCCCATCCCACCTGCCCCACAGTCAGCTGGTCTCCTATTGCCACAGGTCTGTACAGATTCTTGCTATCCTTATTCCCAGCATTGCAGCAAGCCTTGCCTACTACAGTACATCCAAGTTATGCTCCCTAGTAATTTCTGGCTGCTTAAAATTTTACTTACCCAGATTGGGGCAAAAATGTCATTTACCTGTATATTCCTATTATTTTCTGGGTTTTTTTTTTCCCAGAGATTTTCCTCAGACATTTCCACAAATATGAGAGGATCTATTTTCCTTTTAGACAAACAATATTTAAGTGAAATTTTGATGATTAGTTGCACTAAAACTATGCTAAAACACTTTTTCATCTTTTTTTAATAATAAAAAATATATTAAGGAAGTTCTAGGAAAAAAATTCATATTTCCATTAACATATGGCTTTAATCTTTAGTCCTACGACAACTGCTTCAGTGGTTGCCATTTCCTTTCTAGTGGGAGGGGATAAGGCATGGAGGGAGTGCCTGGGTCAGTTGGTTAAGCGTCTGACTCTTGATCTCAGGATTGTGAGTTCAAGCCCCACGTTGGGCTCTACACTGGGCTCTATGTTGGGTGTGAGCCTACCTTAAAAATAAATAAATAAACAATGCATGGAGAACATGCACCTCAGCACTTTTCTGGGCAAAAAGTGGGAAACTGCATACACTCCTCCTGCTTCTATTCTATTGGCAAGAACCTACTCATATGGCAATACCTGGATTCAAGAGAGGCTGGGAAATGTGGTCCATAGCTGGGTGTCCCTCTGGTAGGCTAAAACTAGAGGTGGGGTTCTATTACTGAAAGAAGGAAGGAGAGAACAAAGATGGAGCGTGTTAGCAGTCTTTGCCACACAAATGTATCACATAGTTGCAATATAGTAAAAACTATTTTATTTTGCTTTTTACTTAACATTATATCAAAAGCTTTTTTTTAACGTGACGATGCGATCTTCATAATTATAAAACAAATAGCTTTATAATAATTTATTGAATGTATAATCAATAAATTCTTTAACTCTTCCTATTATTGAAAATGTGACTCCTTCTAGTTCCTCACTGTTCTAAACAATGTCACAATAGATTTTTCCATGACTATAATTTTTTCATCTTCTTGAGATGATTCCCTTAGGATAAATTCCCAGAACTAGGATTACCAGGTCAAAAGAGTGTGTGAACAGTTTATGATTCTTAATGTTTTCATTCCAAACTGGTTTCTGAGAAGGCAGTACCAATTTGTTCCCAAAGGAAATGTGCACACTTTTTTTTCTATGACTGTGGGGAGAGAGACATATTCACATATCATATCTTGTAGGTAGAATATTTTCAGTTTTCAGGGTCTGGCTGGAATGACCAGGAGACACAAGACTTGGGTTTGAATGTCTTACTCTGTGGTTTCCTAGCTATTTAACTGTAGGCAAGTACTTACTTTCCCTGTGCCTCAGATTCCTTATTTTAAAATTGAGGATAAAAATACTTCCCTTATAAGACTGTGTGGTAATCATTAAGGCTATTGACAAATACTCTTGCCTTATCATCTTCTATGCACATGTTAATAATGTAATTCCCTGCTCCCTTGAAGATAGATATGGCTAGGGGCGCCTGGGTGGCTCAGTTGTTAAGTGTCTGCCTTCAGCTCAGGTCATGATCCCAGGGTCCTGGGATGGAGCCCCTCATGGGGCTCCCTGCTCGGCAGGAGGCCTGCTTCTCCCTCTCCCATTCCCCCTGCTTGTGTTCCCTCTCTCACTGTCTCTCTCTCTCTGTCAAATATAAATAAATAAAATCTTTAAAAAAAAAAAGATAATGGCTATATGACTTTCTTTAGTCAGTGATATGGAAGCAAAAGTCACATGTGCCATCTCCAGGCATACATTTTTTTAAAAGGTTTATTTATTTATTTGAGAGAGAGAGGGAGAGAGAGTGCAAGCACAAGTAGGAGGGACAGGGAGAAGGAGAGAGAATCTCAAGCAGACTTGGAGCTGAGTGCTGAGCCTGATATGGTGCTCAGTCTCACAACCTTGAGATCATGAAACCAAGAGTCGGACACTTAATCGACTACACCACCCAGGTGCCCTACCAGGTATGCATTTTAAGGCCGTTTGTGGTTTGCCACATTGTTTTTTCCTTTTGCCATGTGATCAGAAGTATTTTGGACCATCCTAGCTCTTTAAATGAGTCCTAGAATAAGCATGGCACAGAGAGGGGCCCCAAGCCAACCTGTGATGGATACATAAAATGAGTAAAAAATAAATCTTTGTTGTTTTTTTTAAGCCACTGAGACTTTAGGATTCTGTTATTGCCACATAATGTAGCCTATTCTGACTACTGCAGATTTACTCAGGATTAATAAAATAATAAGCTTAAGATGTTGGACCTATGGAAGATCCTCAATATATGTCCTTTACAATAATAATTACTACCATTCATTCAGTGCCATCTACATGCCAGGCATTTGTATACACTATCTCTGATCTTCAGAACAACCTTGCCTATTATAAAAGGAGAAAAACAAAGCTCGGAATGGCTAGTGTTTTACCTAACATCATCCAGCTAGAAAGTTGCAGAGCTGGGATTCAAACCTGGTGTATTTCTTCCCATTTTAATCTTTCTTCCTTGTCTCTGGAATTTTTTGGCATTATTTTATTATTATTATTAATTATTATTACTATTATTATTTACAGCTCTGTGTTCCTCTACAATCTTTGTTTATGAACTTTGCATTTATTCCTGCAGTAAAACCTCTATTTTCTTAAACTTGTTGCAAGAGAAACAGAAATTGAGTCAAAGGTTCAGTAGCTTGCTATTCAAGCCCCTGCTTGCTCCCCAAAAGAATCCTCATGAACCCCAGTACCTTTTACATTTTTCTTGGCTTGAATATATCTGAGAGCAGTTATAATTTATGTGTTTATGAAAGGAAAAAATGGCTTTAAAACTGGAATGGAATGAGTCAGATTAGAATGAGTTAGATTAGATGAATCCAACATTTACGGACTCTCTTTCTTTCAACAGCTTAAAATATAATTCACATACCACACAGTTCGACCATGTAAAGTTACAATTCAATGACTTTGAGTATATTCACAGATATGTGTATCCACTGCCCCAATCAATTTTGGAATATTTTCATTACTTCAAAAAGAAATCCCACACCCCTTAGCCGTCACTCCCAACCTCTCCCCCTCCTCCAGCCCTAGGCAACTACTAATTTACTTTCTGGGCTCTGCATCTTTTTAGTATGGCTCCCCAAATGTAGTTTTCCACCAGCCCCCAACAAATGGTCCTCTCCCCACCCACCCACCCCAGCTCCACTCCCAACTCAGCAAATCTTTGCTCAATTATTTTTAATTCAAAGCTCCAATTCTGAAGTATCTGGTCTAATAAACTTAATTTTTTTCTAAAAACTTTTTTGCTTTACTAAGAATTTCCTTGCAATGTTATACTCAAGGTTAAAAAAAAAAAAGGTACTTTTTTTTAAAAGCTTTCATCTGTTCATGACTTTATTATCCAGTTTGTGGAGTTTTCAAAATCTTTTCTTCTCTCTCATCATTCCTTTATGAGTCATTTCACAGTTTGTTAGTACCTCTAACTCTTTATATAAAATGGTCAAATAAGATTAAATTAAAATTGCTCTCTTACATGACACTGGTTTTTAAAAAGGGTTGGTTAGGAGAAAGGCAAAATTTGAAATCAATGGTTAAAAAAGTATCGAGACCTGCGGCTCGATCCCATGACCCAGAGATCACGACCTGAGCCGAAACCATGAGTCAGATGCCCCCCCTGTGAATTTTAGTGATTTATATTCACAATTACTATAGGGAATATGTGATTTACATTTTATAATGCTCATTGCCATGGGAAATTATTGACAGCTTGTTGAATCAGGTTGTCCTTATCATGAGACTCTTAAATTATTTGAATCAGAAGGCTGAAAACAATGATTTCTAGAACTAGCACCAACCTCCAAGGTTTGCTGATGGAAAGCAGTCCTGATGCTCACACGTTTTACTGATGTTAAATAAAACAGGAAGCAACAAAAGGCAGCTAAACATTAAGAGGATGGGAGATGGGAGTTATTCCCTAGGAGGGAAGAAATAAACGAAACGTGTGAATGCTTATACACCCCTGAAGACAGTATTTCTTCAACATAGTGAAATGAGGGTGAATTACCTAGTTTATGATGGGTGGGGGGTGTCTGATTCTAGTCTCTACTTGTGCTGTGCTGACTTGTTTTTTGTGTTTTGGATACAATTGGTGTTAGCAACCTCTTAGTCTCTGGTAAAACCCACTCCAAAGATAAATGTGAAGCCAGGACATGCGAGTCTGAATAAGCACCTCCCAGAGACATGAACTATATTAACATCGTTGGGCAGGAACAGCGACGCAAAGAACAGTGTTGATGAACAAGAACGCGTAAAGAGTGATGGCTTATGATAAAGAAAAAATGCACTTTATGGGCAAAGAGGGTATTCTCTATTCAGTGAGCTTTGCAAATTCTAATTCTGCCCTAATTATAACTGCCCTGCTTTCAGGAAGCTTACCTTCAGCAACTGTTTATTCACCAACTGCAAAATTATGGCTAGGACCTGGGCTAGGAACTGTGAGGGATACAATATGGAAATGACAGGAGTCCTGGCCGCGAGACCATGAGGGAAAGTACACAGTGTGTCTGGGAGTCAGCGAGTCCAGAGTGTAGACCACTACATTGGTGGGGAAAATGGGAGACAGAGATGAAAAGGAGCATAGCACTCAAATCGGTAGCCTCTTGAACGCCAAATTTACATGTTAGGACTTTATTCTTTGGAAAGCAGGGACTCACTGATTTTCTTGTTTTGTTTTGAACGTGGGGAAAAAAAGTGATCAGAGCTGTTTCTGGCTATTTATTCACATATTTTGTTTCTGTCCCACTGATACAATCTTTCCTGAGATGGTACATTTCCAGTGGACAAAAACAGTATCTATCTCACTTGCTTGTTTAATGTCCAAAGCAATGTGGTAGGCTATGCTTACTATTTAGTTCATGTAAACAGCAGCTGTTGTTAAGAATTCATGTGTTCTTAGAATGGAAGGAATAAAGGACCCTCATTGTTCACAACATTTATTTAGCTAAACTAGAGGAAAATTCACCTCCCCAAGGAAAAATAAGAAACTCCGGCAACATGGCACATCATTTGCCCAGGAAGAACATTTTTAAGTCCTACGGAAGCTCTCAGGTACTACGCAGCATGGAAACACTATAAATTCATCTGTTCTATTATTTCATTGATTCAGCATTTTTTTCAATGTTGTCTCTGTAGGTAGATTCCAGGTGATTAACACGTATTTCAATTATCGAAGGTTCTGGTGAAATGGAATCAATCTTATTCCCCTCTTTTATTGTCCTCTGTATCATCTGCGGGTCTGTGGGGTCCCCGGCCCCAAGCAACTTGCCCTCCCGCGCAGGATGCGAGGGAGCCGCGACAGGCACTGTGCTGGAAGAGCCTCCACAGAAAGGACGGGAGGACGTGCCGCAGCGTTAGAGGCAGGGACGAAGGGTGGTGACCACTGGGGAGCCCGCACTGGCTCCTCCAGGTTTATGGGAAGGGGGAAAACAAGAGTCCTCGTAGCTTCCAGAAATAGACGAGCTGCTGGCTTCTTTCCATCCTCCGTCTCGGCCTGGCTGTGGGAGAACAGGCAGGCACACGCAGGCTGCCCCTCCCGCTTGTGGCAGCCCCAGATTACAAACGCACACCCCAGGATCACAGCACCAGCATTCCCAGGCCCAGGCAGCGGAGCCGAGTGCGCTGGGAGGAGGTGACGGAAAG